ACATCCACATCTCACACCATGCAGTGTACCAAATAAAACATCCACATCCCTCACCAAGCAGTGTACCAAATAAAACATCCACATCTCACACCATGCAGTGTACCAAATAAAACATCCACACATCTCACCATGCAGTGTACCAAATAAAACATCCACATATCTCACCATGCAGTGTACCAAATGAAACATCCACATCTCACACCATCCAATGATATGGTGTACCTATATCTATCCTTCTTTATATAAAGTGAAAATAATTCTCATAAGATAAAAGTTTTGATGATGGGATGAAATTGTAAAGTACGCTTCCAAGACTAATGAAACATGTGAAGTTGCTGTTTGAATATAACCATCTTTATTACTATTGATAGGGGATCAATTATTGTGTTGCATACATTGTTGTTACCAATGTGAACAAGGCATACATACTTTGTTTGTTACTTTTTTTATTTATTAAAGAATGAATTTCAGTGAATAAAACATTATTTAGAAGCCTAAATATATTCTATTTTTTGAGACTTGTCAAGATATTCCAATGAAGCAAAACATAAGTAGAAGTTGACATTGCAGAGGAGTGGGGTGGAAGTGTTAGGGTTTTTTTAGAACTTGAAGCTGTCAAATTACAATAAAACCTGATGTGGTTATTGATCATTTTAGATCTAAATGACACAATATACAGTAGTATATTTTAAAATAAGAAACTTTAAGCCATGCCTAAAGTATATCACGGTTTCATTGTATTTTTTTAAGTTTTCTGAAGCAGTAGAGTTTATCAAAGAATTGTCGTTGGAAGTTCATCAGAGACTACAGAAAGTTGGTATGAAAGGCAGGTCGATTACACTAAAGCTCAAGGTATTTTGTAGGACTGTTGTTTAAACTTTGTAGTTTTTAAACTTATATTGTAAAATTGTTGATCTCTGTGTACTCTAGTGTTTAGTTGTTCCATTATTTTATTTTTTGTATAGTGTGTTATTGTAAAATATTTAATTATCAATTCATTTGAAAATAGCTCATTTTAATTACTTGTCATTTTTTTCTACTTTTTTGTATTTGTTGAAATGTGATTATCATTCTACTACTGGAGAAAAATACAGGTGTGCAGTTGCTAAGCAATAAAAATAAATAGAATTATTCATAAGTAGCTTCTTATGTTAATACAAAATAAATAGAATTATTCATAAGTAGCTTATGTTAATATAAAT